AATGCTGGCTTGTGCATGAATCGCATGAGGGAAGAACGTAACCGATTTCGAACGTACCGCGCTCAGGCGAGACAGCTCAGGCGAATGAGAGCCGATTTGGGTCGAACCTTTTTATCTCGACGCTACCCGGCCGCTGGATATGTGCACACCAAATGATTTTCGCTGAAACTGTAGGGTTTTCAAAGTTGAGACTTTAACGGGGAGCTAGTGTAATCCTTTTGCACCTCCCGCTGATATTTTGCTCGTGGCATTTTGTTTGAGTGAGCGAACTTTCACGGTCAAGGTCCTTCACAGATTCGCATTCTCTTACGGACCGCACATTCGAAGCACAATGCATTTATTCGCAAAACACTTGTGGATGAAATAAAAACTTCACCGTCAAAATGTTGCACTTCTTTGCATGTGCTCACCCTCATCAGCCATCACTTTTTTCGATGTTTTAATCGATCCCTTTTGAAAATTATTCGGCTTTCAATTTGATGTGCTATGGCTTCGAACGTGGCTGCACAAGCGCGCGTTGAGAAATTTGTGGCTGTATCGTTTTCATCCTTCACGGTATTTGACAAGGCCTTAAATCAGTACATGAAGGATAACTTTGTGGTATTTGTGGTATTTGTGCGTTCATCTAGTAATCGAAGCGCCAGCGCTGTTTTACGTTACGAATGGGTGTACTACAAATGCAGCAGGCGACATCCAAGGCCAACGGAAAGTCGGGGAATCCGAGCGTATATTCTAATAAATAGTACGCGAAGCACCAGCTGTCCAGAGAGGTTTTGTCTACGGAGACAAACGAACCAACTGGCAGTCAACTCTTACTTTCTTGAACACAACCTCAAGCAGTCAAAATTTCTGTACGACCGGCTTCCAGTTATTCGGTGGCTAATCGAAGACGAGTTGGGCAACTGCATGGTCCTACTCAAATATGGAACGCCCTCGTGTGATGTGCGACAGTTCGTGGCGGATGAATTCGGCAAGATTCTTAACACTCATGATATATACAACTACTGCCGGAAGTGTCGATCGCTTGTGTTAAGAAGGTGCCGCATAGTTGGGTTTTAATGTGGCAGATGATATGCCTTCGGTGCTGGCAAAACTTCGGGAGACCGGACACCTCCTTTTCTGCCAGTCAGAGGAAGGTCACTATAACCATTTCTTCCAGTCAGAGGAAGGTCACTGTAACCATATATGCTTCTCCCGATGGCAGCAGATAGCGTTGTTCCGACGATTCCCAGTTGTAGTGAATGCAGACGGAAAGCATGCAACAAACCGCCATGGGTGAGTTTTTTAAAGCATCTAATATTCGGTATGTAGATATAGACTGTACACCTTTTTGATAACGGACGGCATGGGAACCCACCGCCCGGCTATGTATGCATTCGTAGAGAGCGAACAGTTTGCTCCCATGCGTAAACTGGTCGGCTTATTCTGAGAAATAATGGGCGAAACTTCATAATAATATTTATTCCCAACTAGTGGGTAGCATACCGTCGGGCATGATCATAGTATTACAGTCAGAATAAAGGCATGACTGGTGGGGTTTGTGATTAATGGGAGTTTCCTGGAAAAGGAAAAGTGACGTAAACAGTAAATATTCATGAAGTAGAGTTCGTCACACCTGAGGTGGCATGGGTAGGGATCCAAAATTACAAGGTCTCTTTATGCCCTATGGAGAACATATCAGATGGCACGAGATCTGAACGTTAGGGTTTAAAAGTGGCGAGCAAAGAAAACAATACAAGTGAGGGCATAACAAAGAGCTTCCTGACTGGAACGTGAAAAAAACAAAGAACTTCAAACTACAGGAAGTGTAGGGCCGGAATAATGGATACGGAGAGGCAGGAGAGCGGCGGGTAAAAATGTATTACGTACAAATGGTAGCAGGAAACGCAGAATTATAGTGTTAAGTGAAGCTTATGCGACTCACTAGAGTTGCAGAGGAAGCAGGGTCGAGTGTAAAAGTTACTTGGGAAACGAGTTCACGCAAACAGAGTAATAGTTGACTCAGTTGGTGAGGATTACGAATAAAAGCCGTCGAGATCTTTACATCTGACAGAAGGTTCGGCAGATTGCAGTGAACGCCTTCCGGTGGTGGCCGGGGACAAGTGAAGGTTGATTGTGGTTGTCGGTATGGGAACCAGTGAGCGAGACCTTTGTAATGGACAAGTTGGCGGCGCAAATGCGTGCAGCAAGAGTCATGTTCGGCTGCGACGTCATGCTTTATTATTTTCATGTCCACAAAGCCATCGGAAAGCGCGTATGTAACATTTAATGTCCATGTATTTTGGCCATAGGCACATTCTGCGACTAGCCGGTACACATTTCACCGCATGGCTCGCCTGGACAACGCCGTACAGTAGGTTTTTGTTCGTCGTAATACAGGCACACAGACTCTGGCAAGACCTGCAGCTTCTGCTCCGCACCGATCCTTGATTTGTTTGCTATCGTACGGCCCGCCGGTTGAACATCACACGCACAGTCATCACGCACAGTCTGGAATGGTTCATTTGGTTAATGTGACCAAAAACCGATTGGAGAATGCCGTCTTAAAGACCGGGTGCATCACTCCAACACTTTGGAGCATGCAATTCAATAGGTATCCTGGTCCGCCGAGCGGCTCATGCGGGAGTTCGAGATGCATACGTCGTACCGCTGCGACAGACGGCAAGTCCTGGGGGGTGACGCATACGTTCTAAACGCGGTCTATCGAATGACGACAAATGCATTCTCCCTCGTTTCGAGGCACTTGGGTCCGCGACCGCCGCGGCTGCCGTATGAGTGTTGGAACGAACAAGGTAGGGTGAAGCTACGTAAACTAACTTATAGTTTGTGGTGCAAACACTCAGATGCTCCCAGACTGTTGACACCTGTGCTGGAGAATGCACACTCCCTTTCTACCAGGCCATGTGGCTCCCCTGGCTGCACCTGTTCTTTGTATTTCGAGATCAGTCCGTTCCGAGCTTGCTTCCCAATCCACCAAAGATGGCTGTCGGATTGCAACGTACCGGAAAAAGGTGTACGCCTTACACTTGTTCCCAAACCACCGCCGACATCTTTCGACGGCCTTCGTAAACAACTGAACCGAGTGATGGTTAAGGTTCAGAGGCTGGAACCCAGGAGGGCCGAAGCCATCTTTAAGTGAGTGATTTTTCAGTGACAAGTCCTGCTGCGTCAAGGTTCAAAGTCTGCAACTGAGGACGTGCCGTAGGTGGTCGAGAATACTGCACCTCAAACCAGATGGCGGTCTAGGACCGGCTACCAGTGACCGCTGGTGTGCAACGGATCGCGTATCATATCACGCCGATTTTTGTTATGGTGAACCAAGCCCGCTGTGTGGTAGTGCTCTTCAGGCTTGTTCTAAAGGCGAGTCCACATGAAAATAAATTACTCTTGGTTCTTAGCCCCGGGCCCATCCAGAAAGCGCAAAGGGGTGCTTGCTACTCGGTCCCACACAGAGGGCCCCTTATGACGCTGACCGGGACCGAAGCACAGAGTCTCAGCACTGTGTGTCCCAAAAGTCTGTGTGTCCCCGTGTTTTTGGGTCCAAAGAGGAACTACTCGACAGCCGTGAGTAAATATATGACAACTACAACTAACGCTGTAGAGTGCCAGCTAGATGAAAGAGACGAAGATGATTATATGTGACCCATTAGCTCCGGCCTGTTAAGTAAGCCCTATGCATTTTAATACGACTGCGCATCAACCTGCTGCGCAGCGGAACAATCATGTGAAACAGAGCCGTGCGATTATGCCCCCACGTCTGAATCACGTCCGATTTCATCATGTGCCGGAGAAAGGTCAAATAGGGACACAGAAAGTTCACACCCACTCCGTGGCCAAGGCACTCCGTACACAAGCGCACAGACGGCCATCTATGATCAACCGAGACAAAGGAACAACCGCTCGAAGACCAGTGTGGGTGTGTGGGAGACACACTGGTTGGTTGACAGCGGATCGACTATCAAATACGGTTACAAGTGAATCATATATATATATATATATAAGTTTGTAATTGCGTTAATGCACAGTTCCTTCAGGTCGTCTTCTTGTCCTGTGAGTATAACCCAGTAGCGTCAGGGCAGGTGAAGAGATACAGAGATACAAGAGAGAGAGATATACATATATACAAGAGAGAGAGGTACAGTAAGCAGTCGAGAGAATTAACCACTGAAGATGGCATTGTGTGAACAGGCGTCTACGATAGCATAGCCGCTGAAGTGCATTTCGGGGTTACTATTCCTACCAGTTTGTCGGCCGCCCGCCTTATGGTGATATTTTGATAACCTGAATTATATCTTCCATTTCAGGACAACGGCCAAATGAACACTCCTCACAAGGATAATGCGCCTCCCGGAAGGCCAAATGTACACTTCAAAACGACCAATACATCCCAACATTTCATGACGTCCATTTTGAGCCTTTTATCCGGTGCAGATGGACGGGTGCGCTCCCCTAGCCGCGTGTTAGTCGTGTGCGTCAGTTAGGTTCGTTCAGCTCTCCGGTGTGATCGGCGTAGGTTCCGCGTTGCTAATCGATGAACCTCGGTGTGTTCCTAGAATAATTGGCAGCCTATGATGGAAATCTCTACTTTTTGCCAGCAAACGTGCACGACTTTTGGCAAATAACGAACGTGGGTTGCGGAATTTTAACTGGCAACAGGAATCATCGACCAAAATTTGTTTCCACGAATGCACCTACGCATATTTTGCATCTTCGAAGGCCATTCAGATTCTTGAACGTTCAGGGAATTTTTGCCGGTGGTGAACTAACTGAAAGATTCGTCCATTGTAAGTGAGTCAACGTTTTCTACGATTCGCGATTTTTATCATTAGGCTACGTATTCGCAGTCGGTGGTGTTTATTGACCTTGAGCATTCGCTCACTTAAACAGATCGCCAGAGTGGATGACTTTCAATAATACAGGATCACATACATTATACATAGACCTTCTACACTTTGAAGTAACCTGCCTGAAAATACTGTAGATTTCGAGGAATTAATCCCTGTGTGCGAATAGTGAGCGGCGCTCTGTGGCTCATTCGGACACACCCTTAGCATGTACAGCTTTCGCGCCACCTCATGTGTCAAGCCGTAAACCGTAAGAACGCAAGAAGGCAGTTAATTCAAATAAAGTATTAGCAATATGGATTCTTGCTTTTGACAGACAAAGTACATCAATGCAGATTAACTTCAGTGTACGAGGAAAAGCAGCTTGTTTCCCGGATTACTTCAAATGCGAATAATAAAGGTGGATATGTTGAAAATGAATTTTAGGATGTTTAGACTGGAATACTGCCAAAATGGTCACACGTAGGCAGGACCGCAGCTAAAACCCTCAACCAAAGTTTTTGGTTCAATAGTCTTACCAAAAGCTAGCAGCTGGATGCTGGCATATTACCCTGATAGAACAAGTCTTCAAGGAACGTGTCGACATGCCTTTCCCACCCCCAAACTTGGAAGACCAGAATGTTGTGCTCGTCAGACCTCCATCTAATAATCAGTGAGAAACATGGGGTGTCAGGGTGAAAACCACAGTAAAATTCAGTTGGTTAACTGGGTATTCACCCTACCACAGTACAATTAAATCCAGTTTATGCGGCGAACAACAGTGAATGCCCACCTCATACATGCCCTGATCGCCGTATACTTACCTGAGGCGCAGACCTTCATCAAAAACATGAGCATCGTATGGTCTGACGCGCCATAAGCCTTGACAACTCAGGCAATATTAAAATCGGCTAAAACTGGCAATCTTGCTCTCAAGAACATCAAACTTTTTGTAACATGTACGGAGTGAGATCCCACTTCTCGTGCTTCTTTCATGCTGAATTGCGGCTAGGCGCCGAAAGGGCGCTACAACTGAACGATTTATGCATTATTCATCTTATTTCCAGCCAAAAACAAAAACATGTCCATCTTCAAAATGGGTCTTATACCTTTGATTTGATCATTCAGGGCAAGCAAGGCGTTCTTGCTCAGAGGACAATGCGTTCCAACAAGGCCTCTGAAACCACCCATTAACTAAGGGTTCAAACGTTACCCAGAGAAATGACGGTTAAGGAAAACCCAAGGAATACGGAAGATATAGCTGGCTGTCTAACTTTTTTCAAAACTACGGTGACATCGGGCCAGAAAAGTTTCCAGTCAGTGAATTTGTTGTCTAATAGTATGGCTCAGTATTTAATCGCAAGTATTGCCTTCTGTTTTTTGTAGGCGGAGCGCTTTGGAGAAAATTTTGGCCAAATTAGGGCTTCCAGCATAAAGTTCAATGCACGACAAGCTTCACAATGTGAGGTAAATTATTCAATTCCTAAAGATGGAGAAAAAACAGAACCAATGCGCCCTGATCTGACCGTCTTTACCCGCTTTGCGTGAGGATGAAGGACAATGGCTTGTGCATGGTTAGATATAACTCACGCAGAGCGTCTAGAGGGCGGATATTTGCCGGAGGAATGCTAAATATCTACCGTCGTTTCTGCCTTAAAAACAGATGGACGCAAATGTGGGGGGTCAGTGCGTACTCGGAGACGAAATATTTTCCTTATGAACATCGTCGAACTCATAAGACCAACAATCATTTGCTTATATCTAGGGGTAGTGTTTAACTCAGTCGATTGTGTTGCTTTGTGGTGACACCACTTTGAAAAGTGTTCAGTTTCTCCCCTGACAACTATGCAATCGTTGTACTCCACTACCTTTGAGCTCGTGAGAATCATCGCGCAGTCTATCATTAGAAATGGTGACAGGACTCTTCATGCAATTCACAGTAGAATCTGAAAATGTTCTGAAAATGTTCATTCTGTTTTTTCCCTCTACTGTGGAGCATCTTTGCGCCGAGAACCAGAAGCATTCGGATAAAAGTGATAAAATAAAAAGACCTAAATCATATTATCATACGATCTACCGATCCCTTTGCATCTTTCTTGCAAAATGCTGTTAAAAAACTGGGAGAGCTGACCAACGAAGCTGCTCATGACATCAGCAACCTTAGAGGCAGTGGACGATTTTAACTGTTTGGCAAATCACATCTCACCGGAAGATCGCTTTGCGAAGAAATGAGTGTTAGAATCTTTAACGCCCGTTTTGTTCAAATTTATTTTAACTTAAGCGCCATGGGGGTGGGTGACGTGATGTTTGTCTGTCGGAAATGTCAGGGTCTACAGTACGGCTGCGCGTATTGCGCTACTTTTTTGTTGTGAAGCTTGGTTGTTTTGAGGTGCATACAAAACACTGCTTATTTCGACCTTCGGAGAATTCTAAACACAGTACGATTACCACTGTTATGCAGTGTCAATGTGATCGAGCCCAAATGTTCCCAAAACATCAGCAATCCACTGCTGGATGGATGCGTTCGGCTCACCTGTGCAGTCCCGTACAAGCGGATATGTTGATAAACTTTAAAACTATTTGTCACATCACTTCTTTGAGAGTGGAGCCCCCGATTTGTACCACAAAATCCGAGCTCGCAGGCAGCACTAACGAAGGTGACAGCAGCCCACTGGAACGCCAAATACTTTGGAGTGGTGTCGATGGATAACAGACTTTATAAAAGCCAGCGTCTTTGCTATCGAAAACAGTTGTACTCCATGTCAATCAATTCAGTCGGTTGACAGCTAAAATGGCGCTGCCAACGAAACGAATGATGAGACATAGCAAAAGCATCGCTTAGAGAGACGGGTCAAAACTTAATAGCAATCCATCTGACGTCACGTGACCTATCACCTATTATTGATGCAAAAGTAACGGTCTTTGATATCGCATCTACGGGAACAAAAGAGGAAAACGCTGATATTTCGGGGTCTTTATCTTGTTACTGTGGTATTCAAACTTATCGCTTAATCGTGCAGAATTTGGTCCTACAGAAGATAAGGTCGCAAAGGAAGAAGCACCAGGCATTTCAGTTGGGCTTCTTGTCTTCTTCAAGGAATTAGAAGCAACTCTGGTAAACTGTGCAAATGAATTTCTGGATCGGAGCAAAAACACTTTTGGGATGAGGCTGCTATAACCTGTCCCAATTTTCGATAAAATACGTAGACGGCGTGCGTAGCTCAACCCAGTCAAACGGAGTTCTGTCCCTGCTAGAACGCTTTGGACAGGTCTACAATCTCCGACAAACACTGTTTCTGTTTCTGATTGCCAACAATAGGCGTTTTTCTTGTCTCACTGATCACCAGAAACCAAAATATTGTTTCTCGAGCATTGACACTCCGGCAAAGAGCTTAAACGTGCAAAAAATACTGCGCACTGTTACTTGTGACCTCATCGGGATCTACAGTGAGATTCCCTATGAATTTTTCAGCTGAAGCTGTATATTTTTAGCCTCTTTTTATTGCGTTGTCACTATGAGCAGAGAAATTGACCTGCCTGACGCAAACAAAGTTGAAATGCTCGCTAGACATTTGCCCGTGGACGCAAGCGATATAGCTCTCGGATCGGAAGTAGAGCAGAGAAATAATCTGAGATAATCTGTATTGGTTTGCTGCATAGTCCGGTATGTGCTACACGCTTAAAAAGTGTCAAATTTTACTGCAAAACTGGAGTTCTTTTAGAGAAGGGCTTAGGTCAGCATAACCTCATTTCAATGTTTCATGTTGTGATGAAGCTAACCATAAATATATATCAAAATTGGAGAGGCCTGATTTCACTACCCTTTTGGATCGGTGTGCAGGAGGATTCTTATTTCAACCCAATTAATGGATTGACTACCTGATTATCATTTCAGCTGAAGCACAGGGTTTGTAAAAATTACTTGGAAGGACGATGAAATGTGAGCACCACAAGCAACTGTCCGTCATCGCAGCCGGCAATATGAAGTTTGTGATCCGGCCTGCAGGTCATTTAACTCACGCTACCCCCATCTGGGCGTTGAGAGAGTATCATGTTGGCAATTTTATCCACGTGGTTCCGTGGTTTCAATAATAATAATCATGATAATAATAATAATAATAATAATAATGTTTAACTCACGCTTCCCCCATCTGGGTGTTGAGAAAGTATCATGTTGGCAATTTTATCCACGTGATTCCGTGGTTTCAATAATAATAATAATAATATACTGAAGACATGGATGTGTGGTCTTTCATGTGATCCAATCAGCTGGTAGCTCTACCGATGGTGGTTCTAATGACGATAAGTACGCTTATTGACTTCGATACTAACCACGGTGTCTAAGAGACTCACTGTTTACCAGTCTATCTTATTACTTAAGGGTTTAGGGCACCTTTCTTGTATTCTTTTTAAGTTTTGCTTTTTCGCCAACACAGTGATAAGTCTCTAGTGCTCAGAATTTACACGGGCCTAAATATTCTGCCTATTTTAAATATTTCAGCCAAATCTCGATTGTGCAAAAACAACACAAAGACAATCAGGAAACGCATATCAAGCCAATAAGTGAGTGTGCCAACGGTTCAAAAACCAAGGGCAAAATTCGAAAAAAGAACGCGTAGAAATAGTGGAAATTTTTCAAAAGGGGTTACAAAAGCTAAGGTAGTCAAAGAGTTTCACAGAAAGCATCTCAGCAAGCCACAACGTAATAGGTCAAATGTACGTTGCCTGCACATATCTGACAACCGAGTCTCTGGCAAACGGAAAAAAAGATTGAATGCCCACGCGATACTGCAAATATGGAACTGAAGACCTCCACACTTGATATGCTTCAAGAGAACTCGCACTTGATCAACCGCGATATTTCTGCTCACTTTGACTTAACTATGCATGCTCTGGAGAGATGGATGCGTGAAAGCGGTTTTCGACGTGGAGTACAAGTAGTCGTTCAATGAGCTGCAAGAGAAGAATTAGGGAAGCAAATCAACTACTGCAGTTGGTTTCTGAATCAGATTGCACAAGTCCTTACATTTGCCGATGACATTTTGTTTGCTAATGAGGCTGTTTTCCATCCAGACGAGAAGGTCAATCATCAATCAATCATTATTCACCGAAAACTCAGGTCATTCTTGATCCTATCAGCAATACAATGTGAAACCTTCAACTTGTTGTGGAGTTCACAATCGAACGTGAACAGGACCTCATTTCTTCCGGTCCAATTTCAACGGACATGCTTATTTACGGTGGTTGTTTAACGTGGTCGAGCCGTACATGGATTTCCTTTCTCCAGCTGTTTGGACAACGAGGTTCCTCATCACGTCAAATAGTTACTCGGTGGCAAGACAAACATCTCGAGGGTTGGTAGACTAGCTGATAGAGCAAAGGTCCTGTGAGACTATCTGTAACCAGAAGTATTAACCTCGACCCTGCTACGCCGGACGAGCTGCGAGAGAAAATTTGTACGGCTTGTGTGACAATCTACAGCGACAAGCGGGCCTCTGTGAGTGCTTGTATCGTTAGAAGATTTCGAACTAGTCAGGATAAGATAACTAAAGGCAGTCAAAACTTGTCTGATAAACCTGAGAGTCTTCGTAGTTAGCTTCACCGTCATTGTTTTGACCTCTTACACGAAATTGCGGTTTATCTGACAATTTGAACAGTTTTGCTGTGCTTCTAATTTTTTTGTCAAGGCATGTCGCCGACTTATTTGATATTTTCCTGAGTTTTGGTGCGGTAGGAGCTTCGATGGAATTTGAACAGAAGTAGCACAAAAGCATATTGTGAAGCAGAACTCCATTCTTACGATGAATATTCTGGACTCCCAATCATCTTGTTATTTAGCCTTTTATCCACTTAAAAACGTAACACAAACTTCCACTACATTTCAGGTTTTTCATGCAACATCGCGCTTTCCCCACCACGTCTAAAAGTCATGCGTGCGAAGTCGATTGCTCACTTGAATTGCGCAAAAATGGTATAAATGGCTGTGATCTGTGCCTCTACCTTCAGCATTACTTCATTAAATGGATTGAACAACAAGAAACTAAATTCCTGAAGGCCGAACCTCCTCTTTTGTCCTTACTAATGTACATTGCGTCTCCTGATAATAAATGTAGGAACACAATCTTTCCAACTCTTTGCTCCACTCTAGCTGAGTAGCATGATGAGCCGACACCTATAGCGGTGGCGGTATTTTCCAGATTCAGCTGAGGTTGAATTGTTGGATCAAAGATGAGCACCTCACTGTTCCCGCCAAATAAACTTCTGATAGCGCATTTTGCAGATTCTGTAAATTAGAGAAAACTCAGTTGCTACCGCTCTGTCCGCAATTCCGGTTGGTCGCATATGAAAGTACGTCACGGCCACAACTTTCTGTGTCTAGTAGGCACGGATGAAACCATTCTGGCGATCGTAGCCAATAACAGATGTCGAAGCGACCAGAATACGAAGGTCAACGATAATGTAAGATGTCGACGGTTAAGGGTCTCACAGGACGATTGCGACTATTAGATTATACGCAGTTCGTAGCCAGTAGTCAATAGGAGCAGACAGACGTGGGGCAGCAGATGATATATTGAAGACTGACAGGAACTGGTTCTACAGACAAACGGATTAGTAAGCATCATGAATTAAGAAAACGTACAATCAACAATGACGCAACCAGCAGGAGCGGGAAGTAGTCAC